AGCTCTCAAGACGCTACCAAGGATTTGACTGGTTCATTATAATTTGTATGATAATATGTAATATCATGAGGTGATAAAGTATGATTTGTCAGGGATATTATGAGTTAGTTGGAAACTATGTGGATATAAGATATCAGTGTAAGTATGGCTTGTCCGAGATAACATTAGCGTAGGTACGAGGTATATGAGGTATATGTCAAGTGTATTTTAGTATAAGATCTGAACTTTCAACTTTTGTCAAAATATAAACCCGAATATAAACTTCTTGTCAGAACATGACCAATTCTATTTTATTATGAGTAATGCGCCTGTTCAATATCACTTGGGTAAATTCCTTTCTAACATGTATGTAACACCTCAACAAATTTTAACTCTTAAATAAATGACGGTATTGACTGATTTGTTTTATTTGCATATAGTTATCGTGTATTTTGTTATAATTATAAGTATGAGTTTCTAAAGATGATATATGATATATTTTATGCTATTTATATGTGTATAGAATAGGTTTTATATATTAACTACTTTTAATTGTTTTAAGACAAAAGATATATCAAATGTTTATATGTAAATATGTTTTAACCTTGGTCGTCAATCTTATTGTTATATCTATATGTTTTATATTTATGTATCTGATTCGTGATACAATTAATAAACTAAATTATTATTATTATTATTATTATTATTATATATATATGGGATATCGAGTACTTATGTATGATTTGTCTTGGATATCAGTACGTTTCGAAAAACAAAAATAACTTAATTACATTACCTATATGTGTTTGGAAACGTAGTATGTAATAAACCTAGAAATAGTATATCCATATATCTTGTGTTCTTAATATTAAAATATTGCCCGTGTCCAACACATTTTGTTGTTTTTTTCGGTTCGCGTGGGGAAAAATTTTTTATATCAATTTATTAACATTTAACAACATTAGTTTCTTCAGAATGGGGTAAATTTCCAGAAATCTTGTATAACTGTTATCTCACCATTAATTGATGAAAAATTTAATAACCAGATTAATGTTTTTCTTAAAATCTAAATTCCAAATTAACTAAATTAAGGTTATATTATTCTCAGATGTCCTTGTTTAAAAGAACTTGGTTATCTATAAAATTCAGTTCAGTCGATAATTAGATTTTGCACTTCTCTCCGTTAGACATAAAGCAGAACTGGTATAATTTACAACCAGAAACTAATCAAATCTTTCGCCTTTTATTTTCCAGAAAGCTGTAGAGGTTCTTTCAAGCGCGGCTATAAACCGTGATACAACACCTGTCACTTCTAGTCTGATTACAGAAAACAAATTGCAAGGAAACTCAGAAAGTTCGGATTCTCATCACAATAAATTGGAAAATTGGAATAAAATCAGCGATGGTAACCATCACAAAATAACCAAGCGGAATTCCCTCTCTCGTGATAATGAAATCGGTTTCTATTCCAAATTAATTAGAGATTTGCAGGAATTGATTGATAGGGAGCAAGATTTTTACCCAGATGAAAAACGTAACTTCGGACGATATCGTAGTTCAAATCATTTAATTAAATCATTGAATGGCATGAATTGGGCTGATCGAAATTCGCAGATTGCTAAACACTTTGGATTATTACGATTGAGAAGATCAATTGACAAAACTTCGGACAGTTCCCAGCATGGTGATCGAAATGTAGGCGCTAATGATAACTACATCATGAATACTGTCCGAGATATGCTAAATCAAAAATCAAACCAAAATAAAGACATTGACACCGATTCTAATCTGCTAGGAAAGCGATTTTTCGGGCGAGTTAGAAATTCCAATTATATTTTGACCAAGCAAAGAATGGGAAATGATATTAAGGAGCTTTTGAAGAATCACTGGAAAACCAACTGGACAAAGAGAATGGCCGACAAGCAGGTCAGCCTTTCTGGTGAGCCTTCTTTACCTAACAAACGGTTTCAAGTTGATCTCGATTACTCTTTCCTGTGGTCACTGATGATGAATAAGGACAAGGAAGCGGCAGAACGGGCACTGAAGATGTACATGAACCCTTAAAAACTCATGGATGACCATTTCAAATGATTCCAATAAAATACCAAAAAATAAATTACATTAGTAGCTTTGTGAACAAGTCGAGTGATTTCAAGTTGATAAACCCAACCGCACAGTGACATCAGAAATCCAGATGTGACATACACTATCTCGATGACACCCTGCACGCAGTGGAGCAGAATTTGATGAATTTTTCTCTAGTATCTAAAAGTATCTGTGGGCGTTTGGGTCAATCAAGAATTATCCGACTTTTCCTTGACAAGAGATGCAAAAATTTTTTTTCATGATATCCTAGTCGAGCATAGATATCTGTGTACATCAGGATCTGAATCAAAACATAAACACATAATGGCGTTTGATTTTCAAGCAAATTGGTAACTTGACGTTATCTATGATCAAAATGGCCAACTACAGTAACTAGATCGAAACATCTGTCTCAAATCCTGCCTCTGATAGATTTTTGGACAGATCTCAGCTGGTGTAGAGACAGAAATAATATTCCCCCTTAACTGGGGACACCACTACTTTCCTTTTGTTAACGTCACATGACCCGTTGACCCTGAACTTCTGGTTGTGTAGCAGTCTTCAATGGCAGGCAAAAAACCAGTTTCGTTAGAAAAAAACTTTGATGAATCTGCAGACATGGCATACATGATGTAGGGGGATAATGAGGGTATGAACATTCATCTATCCGAGGTATTCAAATAGAGTTAAAACCTGCAGAGATGCGGAATGCCCCAGCTAAGAGGGTTTATTATTTACACTCTACACCAGCTGACATCTGTCCAAATATTAGAGACAAATGTAGATATTACAGAGGCAAGTCGATAATCTCAATGTATATATCCTATTCTGTAAAGTGTAATGACTTTTTACCCTTGATATTACAGAATATAATTAAAGCTAAGATAGTTTTGCTCATCCGGTTACCATTATATTCCTAAGGGTATAAAATGAAACAAATTTAAAGGGTTCGGTTAATTCTTCAATTAAGTATAAGCAAAAGTCAATCTAAAATGAAATATATGTGGAAATGTACTTGCAACTTGGTTTATTAATAATAGAGTAAAAAACCACGATTTTTGTTTTACTAAATATGATTCAATTATTACGAAAATGATGATATTTTCGAATAGCAGTACTTGTGACGGGCAAACAGGTACATACGAAGGTGGGTAGATAAAGGAGCAGATGCACACTACACAAATTCAAATATATCCCTTCAGAAATTGTTTATTCAAATACATACACACCAAATTTGCAGACATTTGGATAAAAATTTGATTATACACATTTATACTAATGAGTTTGGTGAAATTTATGTAAGAAATAAGAAAACTAGCAATGCACATAAGACGAGTTATTTCAGAATTTGACAATACGAGACAAATACAATATTTCCATCAAATTTAGAATTTGATTATACACATACATACCACCCTTTATGAAATTTTACTTAGAAATAAGAAAGTTGGTAATGCGCACGCGCACTGTTAAATCTACAAGTTGATTATAGGCCTAAATATACTTACCAAATTGGATGAAATTTGGATAAGAAATAAGAAAATTGGCAAAGTGCAGGTGCAAAACGCAAATCAATATTCCCCTCAATTCAGGGTTTCATTATACATATACATATCAACTTTAATTGAACTTGGATAAGAAATAAGAAAGCTTGCGAATAAAATGGGGGTATACCTTCAAGATGACTCCGTAAGCTCATCTTACAGTATAAAATGGTTCACAGCTTAAAGCTCTCGATGCGTACGTTTCGTTTCTGTAAGAATTGTTGTTCTACCGTAAATAAGGTCGCTGCTAGAGACCGTTAAAAGAAATTTTCACTATTTTCAAGTCGGAGGTAAAAGTCGGAAACGAATGGAAGGTCATTGTCTTAAATATAAACTTGCCAAAATCCGTGCCGTTATACATTTAAAATCTAATGACCGTAAAGTATAGCTACAATATGGTTCGACAAATGCCATACAATGTTCCGTTTCGTCTGTCAACAATAAAAAAAAAACCAAAAAACAAAGATTATTTTTTTGAATAACGAAAACAAATAATAATTTATTTATTAAAGTGTCACACAGCATAAAACATATAAATATACAAATATACGAGGTTAATAGTAATACTGCCGAGCCAGATTGGCTTACGAGACACTGGTCTAATTCATATTCAAAAGAATGACAATCAAATCATCAAAACATAAATAAATCAAGTAATTTTACCGTTAAGAACATCAAATTACTGATAAAACAAATGAAATAAATACATGTACAGCTTAAAATAAAGCAAAAATAATTCGACGGAGAATGGAACAATTTAAATTTCAAAGAAACAAAAATTACCGCCTAAATACACCATACCATACCATATCATACCATATCATACCAACCTACCACCAATTTCATCAATTATCATACCAACCTACCACCAATTTCATCAATTATCATACCAACCTACCACCAATTTCATCAATTATCATACCAACCTACCACCAATTTCATCAATTATCATACCAACCTACCACCAATTTCATCAATTATCATACATACCAACCTACCACTGATTTCAGATCGGATTAAAACTGTAGTCTCTATTGTGTTCACAAACACATTTTGACGCGTTTTTTGTAAGTCAAAGGCAATAACTCAAAAACCGTTCATCGAACGTCAAATCCGAACTTGTCCAAGATCAATATCAATATAAATGATCACAAAATTTCATTAAAATCAGATAAAAAACTGTAGTCTCTATTGTGTTCAAAAGCAAATTATGGACTAACGGACGTACAGGGGCGACGACAATATACGACCACATTATAATGTGGGCTTTTAAAGCTTATATGAAATTTACAATTTGTTTTAGAAAATGTCAGATTTGTATCTTATGATAACAACCATGATCTAAATATTAAAAAAAAATACCCTTTAACTTTGCACACACTGCCTGCCACTTTAACTGTTGATCAAGGTAGCCTTTAATTTTAAAGGTGGATTGGGTTTCATTGTAATGGCTTGTTTCTTGGTATAGGTTATATCTGGCAGGAGCTCAAAATGAAATTCTTTCATCAACATTGCTAATATAACTTCCATTTCCAATAGAGCAAATTTATAACCAATACACATTCTGGTTCCAGCTATAAATGGTAAATAGGAATAAGGGTAGATTTTACTTTCATCTTGGAATCTTTCTGGAATGAATTCTTCTTGGTCTGTCCAATATTTTGGATTCCTGGGAAGATAAAAGAAATAACGAAGAATGAAGTTTTTTTAAAATAAAAATTAAGCAAGAAACTCCACCGTATGACCAAATTTGGTAACATTATACTTGACAACTATTCGGCTAAGGGAAAAAAATGTTTTGAATATATTTCTTAAAATTATTGTGGCAATATTATTGCTGACAGTTCTTTTCGATCAACAGCCTGTTTTTCTTATATAAGAGTATATTTTCATCGGTTAGACTTACCAGGGGCTATAACTAAAGAATACAATCTCCATATAACACGATATACCTATTAAACTAAGTAATTATTGAAAAACGCTGTGTTTCAAAATTACTTAGTTAAATTTAAATGGATTATTACTTAATTTTATGGATTTATTGCATTATACAGGCATTCTATTGTATAGTTTTGACACCAGGTAAGTCCACTAATGAACAAAGACTCATTTTGGCCTCAGATCACTGACACATGGCTTTTAAATGTAGTTTTGTAATTATATATGTCAAAATTGATTACTGCTATTTATCGTGACAAAAATACGTTACATACTAAAAACTCTTTACAAAACTACTTTTAACAAATAAATTATCAAACTGTTGAAATTTAAAAATAGATCAATTAGCACATTTATACGGAAGCGTATTTGGGCCATTCAATTTTTTATTTTATATTTTCAAGTTAGTATGTTGAATTTTCAAGTTAGTAACGTGAATTTTCAAGTTAGTTTGTTGAATTTTCAAGCTAGCATGTTTAATTTTCAAATTAGTATCTTGAATTTTCAAGTTAGTATCTTGAATTTTCAAGTTAGTATCTTGAATTTTCAAGTTAGTATCTTGAATTTAGTAACTTGAATTTTCAAGTTAGTATGTTGAATTTTCAAGTTTGTATCTTGAAAATTCAACATACTAACTTGAAAATTAAAAAAAAAAAAAAAATGAATGGCCCTAATACGCTTCTGTACATTTAACAGTAGAAATTATATATAGATTTAACAACTATAATTATCAGATAAACGGGCTTATAACTATCTTTTGAGGAATAAATTAGTAAGCTTGGGAAAACAACAGTTTGAAGGAATTATAATAAATTTAACTTAATAAAAATGGCGAACAAGTTTGGTTTAGGTTCTTTATCTTTAAATACTAAAAAAACTAACACTACAGCATGGATAAATATAGCAAAACCTTACTTTGTGGATCAAATTGGAGACACTTTTCAAGGTGAATTAGATATGAACAATTTCAAAATAACTAATTTAAAGTCTCCAGAAAATGATAATGATGCATTCAATTGAAGTAAATAAAACCATTTAGAAGATAAAGTAAGTAATGTGAAGAGATTCTTCAAACGTCAACTAAATAATAAAATTTTTATTAATGATACTAAACTACAGCAAGAGGTAGCAGGTTTAATAAGTTTTATTCAAAAACAATTGGTCAACGTAGTGAACAAAACTTCATTGAATTTCATTAATATCTAAATTAGATGATAAGATTACAAAACAAAAATTAGGCATTCAACAATTAATAAATAACATTCCAGGTTGATGAAGATACGTTTCAACAGGAATTAAATGATCTGGAAACTAAACTTAACAGTGAATTACAAAAAGAACTAACAAATATTAAACAACAAACAGAACATTGATGATAGCGAAATTAAAACCTGTATTCAACAACAAATACAAAATATTGATGATAGCGAAATCAAAACCTATATTCAACAACAAATACAAAATATCTATGATAGTGTTACTCAACAACAGATAACCACTATTAATAATGAAGTTTTAAAACAGGAAAAAAATATAGCCGCATTAGAAAAGAATCTCAAGGAAGAAAATAAATCATATCATTTTAATCTTCCATTTAGAAATATGATTGATAAAGATGTTTCTATTACTACTAATAAATCAAATGAGTATGAATATAAAAAATATGGATTTACAGCAAATATAAGAGTATATTTTGTTACAGATTCTATTTCAGATTCTCTTATAGATTTTATTTTCCCCCAAGACATTTTTAATGATGATGGATATGATCATCCGCCAAAATTTAGTTTCCTAGGAAAAACTCTAATTGAAATTAATTTTCCTTTTCAGGTAAAAGTTGATTCAATATTTTTCAGACAAACTCACAATCATCGCATTATCAATTTAACGCTCGTAAAGTACTCCAGTTTATCAATGGTACAGAAGAATTTTAAATTAACGACGAAAACAGCAAGCTTAATCACTTATATGAAATTAAAACGAGTGGAAAATATATAGATAGGTTTAGAATGTTATTCATACCATATAAAGAAGATATTTTTTCATTGGGTGAATTTGATATGATATTGGAGACGGAAACTCCAGCATCATTGAATATTATTGAACACGCATTACTCCAACAAAGAGATTCAGCAAAGAGTTATGAGTTTTTACGAACATCAGACTTTGAATACGTAAAACTATATTTTGTTGATGAATTTTTTAGGTAAGATTCTTCTAATGCAAATAAATCTTTTAAATTATATACCTCAATTGATATTCACAAAAGTGAACAAAATAAAGAAGTAATAATATTATTTCCATCAATAATTGAAAGCGTTGGTGGTATATATGCTTATAGATGTAAGATAAATATCAATATTGAAAAACCAAAATGTTCACTTCATCTAAATAAGATTAATGATTCAAAGGGACAAATATCGTTAGTAGCTGTAGAAGTTTTTTTATTCTGATTCTGATATTTTAATAATCAATAAAGATTTAAAAATAAAAAGAGATAGAACTTATTGGGATATTATGGAGAATACCCCATCTTTCATATTAACAAAAGTGCAGTTAATTTAACTGCCTAAAAATGGAACTAGAAAGCAGACAAAACTACATGATAGAAAAACAAAATGAACTAAAAGAAAAACTAAAACACTTCAACAAATGTAGAAAAACATGGAGTAGAATTGATTCTGTTTTCAAAACATTAAGCACAATTCTAACAGTAGGAGTAATAGTGGCAACAGCTGGTGGATTAATGCTTCCACTACTTGTCCCAACTATATTAGCCGCATTCATTTGGGATTGGTATATGCAGTGACAGTTGTGATGTCTTCCTTTCGTGAAGAATTCTTGTTGAACAGATTGACTTCTTTGTGCTACACAGTCGTCAAACATATTAAGTTCTTTCGCTCACTATCAATTTTAGACAAATCTAAAACATTTTTTGTAAGAAACACTTTTATGTCGGTTGGATTGAAAGATGGATTCTTTGCTGTAATGAAGTTCTCTATGTTTTTTATTTCCACTTCTTCTTCGTTGTCTTCATAATATTGAAATATGTCTTGAACATCTGGCTTTGGTAAATATTCTAAAGCATTAAGGATTTGATAATATGATTGCTCTGGTGTTGTTGTGTATATTTATAGAGAATCGAAATCTAAAAAGTTTGGTTTTGTCAACATGTTAAAAGTAAGATGAGTTTTACCAGAACCTGAACTACCGCATATACACATAAGCATTGGGTTATTATATCAGTATTGCTGTAGAAACAATAAATGTTATAGAAAACCATCTTTAAGATACAAAAAATCCAAGGCATAGAATTGTAGTGACAAAGCAAGTAAGAAAACTACATAATACACAATAATGAAATTGAAGTACAAAAAAAATTTAGTAAAAGTAAAAATTCAGATTTGTTGAGTGTTACTGAAATCCTTCACCTAATTTCGTGCATCACCGAAAATGATAAATAATTTACATGTGCGACCTAACGTAACCTCTGCATTTGCATGTTTTGATAAACATGGGTTATCTCTACAACGTCAACCTGTAGAATTTTTCCTATCGTTTCAAAGCAATGTCAAATTTATTATCTATTTCTAACATATACAAAATGGTGGATTTCAGTTATTGGTAATACCAAATGTGACCATTTTTTATCGGCCAAATTTCCTTATGATAAATCCCAAGCTGTACTGTCGTCTGTTATAATATATTCCAGTGAACAAAATCACGTGAATCACTAGCGGATTCCATGTATAGCCGAAAAATTGTATGGACCACAATGTAGGCCATATTCTTAATAATTTGTTTCAATCAATTTTAGCAATATATTACTCTTATGTTTAACTTATCTTATTTTGACAAACATTTTTTCTTCAGATCATTGCTCTTTGAAAGAATTGTCATTTGTTATAATGAATTGATATTAAAGATAAATACTAAGAAATGATAATTTTACCATTTGGTATCCATACAACGTGTTTTTCTCGACTTATTCAAACATAGATGAAACATTTTGCAAGAAAATAGGTGAGGCCTTTTCTAGCCGTTGGTTACTCACGAAATATGGGTCAAAGTGGGGAATCCATGAAGAAAATCGAAACAAACCAATTTTAATTATTTTATAGAATATCTTAAGACATAAAAAAAAATATCTTTTTTTTTGTAATTTTGACTAAATTCGGCGTTGAATCCTTATATCCACGAATATGTCTGAATAATGAAATTAATTTAAGACAAATTGGAGACAAAACAAATTTTTTGCCTGGATATTTTCCGAAAACTCTACGCCTATTTTTTCAGAAAATTAATTATTTGTTTTAATTAAACGGAAATTCATTTGCTACATCCATTAGAACCATTTTTGACAAAATTTTATACTGTCAACTCTCGTTTGTGAAAAGTGGTGCCATCATCGGGAATATTGCCGACGGTCTAAAATTCAATTTCAAGCTACCGTTTTTCAAAACGTCTTTCAAATAATTTTTTTTTTTAAATATCTCTGAAAAGGCTATTCAATTCTCGATTCAGCGATGTATAAGATGTTTTGATGTGAATTCGTGGGGTTTCAGTACGAGTTGTTAAAGACAACAAGTTAGCGATTTCGCCATTTTTTTGTAAGATGTGGCTCAACAGTTCATGAAAATGAAATGTCAGCAAAGTGATCTGGCTGTACGTAGACCAAGAGTAACTAGATGATAGAGGCTATGTCACACTCTGACCTCTGCAATCTGATTCAGGCGACGGGCACTTCATTTAATGCCTAGTACAGTAGTCTGTCAAATTTTTTTAGCTTACCTTTTTTTTTCACCCAATTGGAGAAAGATCTGAATACTGAAAGATTCTATCAAATCACGATGACAAAAAATATTTTTATCTGAAGGATATATTTATTCGAGAGAGTGTCTATTTGCCACGCGTGATTTCCGTGAATTTCCGGATTATGTAAATGAAGTAGATCACATTACCTTATATGGTAAACGTTCAAGAATGCAGAAGCTGACTTTACAACTCTCAAGAATACAGTGGTCGAACTTACATCTTTCACGAATGCAAAGTCAAGAAGACATAGTTGATAATGTCAATAATGCAAAGTTAAGAATTCATTTTCGTAAAGGAAAGTTTGAATGGTGCCTGATGTGAAATAAAGTTTGAAAAGTAAACTATCAATATCTCAACTTTGTAATAAGTACAGTGATTTTTTGATTTTAGGAAGGTTTATTTTGTAATTGTGTAATGTTGAAATATGACTTTGTAAAGTCGAGGCCTTGTTTTCAATAAAATCATTCTCCACATATCAAGATAGTTCAATGTGACCCTTGGGCCGAATGTTGTTCACGATTTTCTATATGTCCGGGTGAATGACAGCAATTTCAGTCGTAGATCACCTTGCCTTTCATTTACTGCCAGGTCCGACGATTCCTCCCCACACCCCTCTGACAATAATTCATCCCCATGTCTTCCAATTCCCTCCTTTTGAAAAGCACTGATCTAAAGTCTATCATTAAATTTTCAGACAGTTATTATTTAAGTCCTTCTATTCAGTAAAGATGTATTCTTGGACATGAAAAACAGATATCAGGTTCCCCCCCCCCCCCCCACCCCTCTCACATTCAATGAATAGATGACAAAGTTTATTCATTGAATTCATTTAATTATTGTTTTATGAAAGTCACTTGGTTATAACAGCTATTTTAAAAAATACATTTAAAAAATACCCTTGCACACACTGTCACTTTAACTGTTGATCAAGGTAGCCTTTAATTTTAAAGATGGATTGGGTTTCATTGTAATGGCTTGTTTCTTGGTATAGGTTATATCTGGCAGAAGCTCAAAATGAAATTCTTTCATCAACATTGCTAATACAACTTTCATTTCCAATAGAGCAAATTTATAACCAATACACATTCTGGTTCCAGCTATAAATGGTAAATAGGAATAAGGGTAGATTTTACTTTCATCTTGGAATCTTTCTGGAATGAAGTCTTCTGGATCTGTCCAATATTTTGGATTTCTGATAAGATAAAAGAAATAATGAAGAATAATTTTTTTTCAAACTTAAACTTCTGCAAGAATCTCAACTCAATTTGAAAACTTTATACTTGAAAACTATTGGGAAAAAAGATATTAATTTTTCGAAAATATTTCTTAAAATTATGATGACAATATTACTGTTGACAGTTTTAATTTGATAAAGATTTAGGTACAGTCAAGTAACCTAATTTCGTGCTAACCTATTTTTCGTGCATTTCCGAAAAGGATTAATAATTTACATGTGCGACCTCGCGTGACCTCTGCGTTTGCTTGTTTGATAAACATGGGATATCTGTACAATATCAGTTAGTAGATTGAATCCAGTAGTTTCAAGCAATGTAAAATGTATTCATGTATACTTTGACAAATACAAAATGGCGGATTTCAGTTATTACCAAACGTCACAATTTTTTATCGGCCGAAATTCCTAATAATCCCAAGCTGTAATCGGAATTCAAAGGTCGTCTGTTAGAATGTAGTCCAACGAATGAAGTCACGTGATCAACTAGCGGATTCCCTGTCAGCAGAAAAATTCTATGGAACACAAAGTGGATCATATTCTTATATTTACATTTCTACTATCACTCCCTTCAATAAACCAGTTAGCCAAACCGACGTTTATTTTCCAATAACTGTAGTTTGTCACGTGACAATTAGGCGTATGAATACATCGAAAACGAACACAAGGATTGACCCAAGTTTTCTTTTAACCTATACTTGGAAAGTGATGTACAATTTATTTAAATTTACAATTGTTGTTAATATTTCAATGGAATAATAAATATTTGATAATTCTATCATCCAAATAAGACTGTTGATTTATAGAACTATATTGTTAGGGGCGGGGCGGTGAAATTGATTGACAGATATCGGTGAATTAAGCAACAACGGTTTCGGGCATTTTTTTTTACAATTAAAAAATAGAACATTTTAGCGTATTTTATCAGAAAAGATAAACCAATGTAAATATAAGGAATGAATGTGGATCTTGTTATCGTTATGGGGAAATAAACGCTGATTTATCATGTGACAAGACAAATGACCCGGCGAACGATAACGAGATCCACATTCATTCCTTAAATGTTGTTTCTATGACGTTTAGCAATAAATCACGCTACGTATCATATTTTGTTAGTCACTATTTTTTTTTAAATCGTGGTTCTTTGAATGAATTGTCACTAATTATAATAAATTGATATTAAAGATAAATACTAAGAGAAGTTAATTATACCACCCGGTATCCATACAACGCGTTTTTCTCAACTTATTTATAGATCAAACATTGTACACGAAAATAGGTGACGCATTTGCCGCCGTTGTCGAGTTGGTTACTCATGAAATATGGGTCAAAGTGAAGGATTCATAAAGAAAATCAAAACAAACCAATTTTAATTATTTGGTAGAATATCTGAGGAAACATCTAAGACATAAAAAGAAATTTTGTTTTTTAACATTGACGAAATGAAATTCGGTGTTGAATCCTTATATGCACGAAAATAGGTTACAGCATTGTATATAATTATATGTCAAAATTCAAAAATTCATAACTGTTATTAGTTAAAGAGATTGTAAAGAGGTTCTTTAAAAAATGTATGTGTATCGGGGTCACTAATACCATTCCAATATTCTATCGGACATCTGTGGTGCCAATTCCACTAAAACTAAGCGTTTTATGACACCACTAATCGAAAAGTCCTTAAACGATTTAGCATATTTTGCAATTAGTGACGTCATGAAACACTTGGCTTTAATAGTGGAATTGCAGGGACCACAGACTTCTGATTAAACTAATTACAAAACTATTTTTAACAAAAAAAATATCAAACTGTTAAAATGTCAAAATATATCAATTAGCACATTTAATAGTAGATATTATATATAGATTTAACATCTATAATTATCAGATAAACGGACTAATAACTATCTTTTTTTGAACAATACACACTACACTCACTCATTGGTAACAATATGTTTTGCTTCACATCCTTTGATTGGTAAAAATAAAGCCATTAGATCAAGTCTTTGGTAGAAAACTTATTAGATTACAATGGAATTGAAATATTCCAGAAAACAAAAAGGAAACACAATTTACAAACCTTTGTAAAGCTCCAACTTGTATATTCAAAACAGTTCCTTTAGGGATGAAATAACCACATAATGTATCATCTCTCATAGCTTGACGAAATGTCATGGGTGCTGGTGGATATAACCTGAAAGGAATAACATCAACTTTTACTTCACTTCTTTTTACTTCTTCTCTGAAGAACACATATTCCGCTATACAGTGTGCCTATAAGGGAACCAAACAGAACTGTATATACAATAGCAAAAACACTAGAGATTACCTCACAGCTTTTAAGATCATTTCTATCAGCTGAACAAAGCTCTAGACAGTGGTTGTTTGCTCAGATGGTGAGAAATGTCATGAGTTACTGCCCTTTAATTAGTCAATTATAAAAAAAACAGTTTCTTGGCAATATAGAAACTCAAGGTTTCATTTCATTGGTGTGATCGATCATATGTTAGATGAACCATGATTTTGATCGAAAGTCAATGTTTAAAGGGACAGATGCACCATTTTGCGGGGTTGATTTTAGTCTTGATATGTCTTTTCTATATATCACAGAGTATCTTAAATTAAATTTTACTGTTACACTATTACTGATTGACTTTCCCATTTCTGAGACTAAAGTAAGATTGGTCAAATGAAATGGTGCATCTGTCCCTTTAATCTTTTTTGACCAAGAAAATCAGAATTATTAAGTGGGTTTATGGAGGATTAAAATTGTAGAAATACATTTTATTAATAAATATAATGAAAACAAATGTAACATACGTGACTCATGCTCAACTTACCGAAGTGTCTCTTTTAAGCATAAATTCAAGTAGGTCATTTGATCTATATGCTCAGCTGTAAGTGGTTCATCATCAGACGGCAAAATAGACTGAACCTCATCATGTAATCTCTTCTGCATCTCAGGATTTCTGGCCATTTGTAATAAAAACCATGACATTCCAGTACTGACAGTCTTCAAATATAAATTCATACATATCTTGTTTGAATCCATGGAAAGATATTTATCATAGTGCACATGTCAAGTAAGGTTCAAAATTGAATTTCATAGAGTTAAGGCAAAATATTTAGGCATTTTTCTATAGGGTTCCTTAGGTGATAACAAACATTGACACCAAGTTTTGTCAAAATCCATCAATAATTGGACCTTCTAGAGTGTTTACAAGCTTAAATTCAATGTGTTTAAGAGCAAGAGCAATAACTCATACTAATTATTTTTCGTTTTTTCTGATTTTCAACGAAGTTCATCCTTGGGTAATTACAAACAATAATACCATGTTTTGCAAAAATCAGCCAAGAATTGTGACTTCTAGGTTATTTACGAGCAATTGTGGGCGGATGAATGGACGGACGGACAGACGGACGCCTAGACGAACAGACGGAAATATACACCCCCAATTTCATTTGGGCATATAAAAAGTACTCACCTCATGTCCAGCTATTAAGAAAGTCATAACATGATCTCTAATTTGTGAGGTAGAAAGTCCCTCTCCTGTATCTGTATCTTTAGCTAATAATAACATTGTTAATAAATCTTTCACTTTCTCTTCAGTAGTGTCTGAAAACATGATTTTAACAATGACATTAAGATATATACAGATTACTGAAAAATAGTAAAAAGAAAGAAGCAAGTATATAAGAATTTTGGTTCACAATTTAAGGCATTGAGTTTTCATTCGTTGGTATTTACAGCTGGGTGTACTGGAATTATGAATGAAGAAGACTTAGTCAAAGTCATCAGACTTTCACACGCCGAATTGGGCACACTTCTATTTAATCTAGTTCACTAAGACACCCTTGGTTCATGTTAGTTTAGAGTCAATAATTTTTGCGAAATTGGCGTTCTATTAGTATTTTTGACCTCAGGCATCAAATGCATCATGGCAGATTTGACAAAAAAAATTTTGTTTAAAAAATCAAATATTTTAGCGTTTATTTGTCTTTCGTCTATGGTAAAGGTAGTTACTGTTACAACAGACCTTTCTGTTGATTTAACTCCTTCTTTTTATTCTTAATAATATCATTTATTAGGTTGTCACTATTTTTCAAATTCTCTTTAAAATCTTGGTTATCTTTAGTTGGCATATTCATAGCAAGTATTGGTAGCAGTATTCGTAATAAGCTACAACAAAAAACGATTGAAATTTGGGTTCATGTATTGTACAAGCTTCACAGTAAAAAGTCAAGCTCTCAATTGTCACAAGCTACCCAAATTAAAACTAAAAAAAAATTGCATAAACAGTTCTTTTGACTAACTATAGACTTGAATATCAGAGAAAACAACTATCATTTTAAGATTATTTTAAGAAGTACATGCAGAGTTTCGTGAAGAAAATCCAAAAATCTGGAAATTTCACTATCACAGGAGTATATATCAACTCATTACCTGGGTTTAAAGTTACTAATTATAGAAGTTAAAGATCTGGTTTCAGGTTTTTCAGGATTGGTGATAGCCTCTGAATTATAACCAAAGCCACACTCACATATCATATCTAAGGCCTGAAAAATATGATATATAAAATATAGTTGATAATTATATTTCACTTAATTCATGATAATATTTCACTTAATTCATGATCATATTTTACTTAATTCATGATAATATACACTTAATCCATGATAATATTTTACTTAATTCATGATAATATACACTTAATCCATGATAATATTTTAATTCATGATTATATTTCACTTAATTCATGGTAATATTTTACTTAATTCATGATAATATTTCACTTAATCATGATTATATTTCACATAATTCGTGATTATATTTCACATTATTTATGATTATATTTCACTTAATTCATGGTAATATTTCACTTAATTTATGATAATATTTCACATAATTCGTGATTATATTTCACATTATTTATGATTATATTTCACTTAATTCATGGTAATATTTCACTTAATTTATGATTATATTTCACATAATTTGTGATTATATTTCACATTATTTATGATTATATTTCACTTAATTCATGGTAATATTTCACTTAATTTATGATTATATTTCACATAATTCGTGATTATATTTCACATTATTTATGATTATATTTCACTTAATTCATGGTAATATTTCACTTAATTTATGATTATATTTCACATAATTCGTGATTATATTTCACATTATTTATGATTATATTTCACTTAATTCATGGTAATATTTCACTTAATTTATGATTACATTTCACATAATTCGTGATTATATTTCACATTATTTATGATTATATTTCACTTAATTCATGGTAATATTTCACTTAATTTATGATTACATTTCACATAATTCATGATTATATTTTCACTTTATTTATGATAATATTTCACATAATTTGTGATTATATTTCACATTATTTATGATTATATTTCACTTAATTCATGGTAATATTTCACTTAATTTATGATTATATTTCACATAATTCGTGATTATATTTCACATTATTTATGATTATATTTCACTTAATTCATGGTAATATTTCACTTAATTTATGATAATATTTCACATAATTTGTGATTATATTTCACATTATTTATGATTATATTTCACTAAATTCATGGTAATATTTCACTTAATTTATGATAATATTTCACTTAATTCATGATAATATTTCACTTAATTTATGATTATATTTCACATAATTCGTGATTATATTTCACTTTATTTATGATAATATTTTGCTATGTGAATCATACTTACAACCAAATGAAGATCATGTTGAATATTCAACTCATTGTCCCCATGTTCTATCTGTTTCTTCCATACATCTATCATTTCTCTTGTATGTTTACGAAAACTAGATATCATATCTAAATAATAAATAAACATAAAGGCTAAAAAAATTGTCTCAAAGATGCAGTAGTGCTACCAGTCTATAGTCATGTGGGTGTTCCAATACACGGCAGACTGACATAATGGGGGGTTAACTATCAGGTTTGAGATTTAAAATACAGAAGCGCTATGAAAGTGCACATGCACAAGCTTCCTATTGAGAAACTGTGGGGAGAATTCGGCATATTCTGGCAAAACGAATAGAAATTATGTGTTCATTTTTTTAGGGGGTAGTCCCCGAAAAAAACACCCTGTACCCCACAACCTGTACCCATACTTGAGCTGCCAATGGGAACAGGCAAAGAAAAGGGGGTTACAATCTAAAATAGATCAGTCTAAAGATCACAGTGCAAAAACTGAGTTACAAAATCTGTTAAGGTAGTAGGAATGAGATATGTCCTATACCCTTTTGCTCTAAAATAATTTGTATTGATGATGGCCATTTAAAAAAAAAACACAGAAGTTAAAATATGAAAGATACTAACTTTTAATGACTGCAATTTTAAAAGCTCCCAAACAAAACTTTCTTTGTGTCATATGTTCTTCACCATTTAAACTAATTAATCCATATCCTGCCACTCGTAAAAATAACCTCAAATTATATTTGACAAATAAACAAAAATTATATGACTACTGCATTAAGGAAACAACAATAAAAAACCAAATCAATTAATTGTGAAAAAAAAGTGATTTTGATTCTGAACTAAAATCCATTTTGTGGGAATTTTTTTTTGTGGATAACGTAAAAGGGATTGTAAAAAAGGTTTTCTACATTTTCTAAACTGAAAGCATCAATCTAATTTTCAAATCAATTAAAATCATGTGTTTGATGCCTTTGTGATAAAGCATATATGGCAATTAGTGACAGCATCAAACGCTTGGTTTAAGCGAATTGCAGGTCTGATTAAAACTTGGAATGGTACAAATTTATGCTATCAGTGTCCCCTATACACATAAAAATTTTTTTGATAAGATAACTTAAATTCATATTGTTTTTAAATTGTCATACATCTTAATTTGGTAACATTTTGCACAATATCTTTTTTGCAAATGTAGAAAACTTGTTGGTTTCACAATTTTTTAGGTAAGAAAAATAAAAGTTTTCTAATGAAACACATGAGATATATACATTTTCTTCATTAGAATTTATTGATGTAGAATTGTACAATATTTAGATGTTATGCCCCTGACAACTTACTTGAAAAGAAAAGTTGGTTTTTGATAATGTTTACCATCAGTCACCATGATTTTTTTCATTGCATCAGCATCAGCTATCATAACTCTTTCATCTCCTAATAGCTGATAGTATCTTACTATAGGTGAATTCATTTCTTTTATCCATCTAAAACATAACAAATATATTTCATTGTTTCAGAAAATAACAAATTAATTTCATTGTTTCAGAAAATAATAAACAGAATCACATCATTTAGAAAAACAACATATAAAATCATGTCACTGCAGAAAATAACAAATGAAATCATGTCCCTACAGAAAATAACAAATAAATTACATCATTCCATAAATAACAAATGAAATTATGTCCATGCAGAAAATAACAAATAAATTACATCGTCTCATAAAATAACATATAAAATCATGTCACTGCAGAAAATAACAAATGAAATCATGTCCCTACAGAAAATAACAAATAAATTACATCATTCCATAAATAACAAATGAAATTATGTCCCTGCAGAAAATAACAAATAAATTACATTATTTCATAAATAACATAGAAATCATGTCACATGAGAAATAAACAAATAAAATCATAAGCTCACTACAGTTAAGAAAATAACAAATAGAATTAAGTCACTTCAGAAAATAACAAATAAAAAGTTAGCTTTTATCATTTCAGAAATGAACAATAAGACACATCAGAATACAACTTTCTAAAATCATAAGTTTGTCAGTTATAAAAGAAACTCCCGACTCCAGTCTCCAGATTGGAAATCAGAATAATGTACACACACATTCAAAGGACACCTCTTTACATTTAACCAAAACAGCAAAGTTCAAGATAATAACTATGATACTTACTTCACATAGGGGTCAACTGCTTCTAGAGCAAATATTTCTTTCATATTACCAAATAACAGACTGGTTCTTGGTCTAGAAGGCAACTAGAAACAAGAAAATTAAAAATGTATGAATTTTATCATATATATATTTTGACATAGGACTGTAAAATTTGATTTGCAGTAATATCAGCATTCATATTTTACTCTAAACCATCTTATTGTACCATTAGGTAGCATCTGTTCTTGTTACTAGGGCTTTTGAACTTTAATAAATACAGAAACTACACAAAAATAAAAATGGTTTTACTACGTCCTGGGCAAAAGATAGCTTGCCAGGCAAGTTAACATACGCCCACTACCAGCTGTCAGAATGATAACAAAATCTTTAGTGGCTTAATAATAAATTTTCAAATAATCTTAAAACCATCCATGAGTCAAGGCAAAAAACCTGAAACAGTTTATCAAGTTATCATGAAATTCAAACATGAACAATGTCTCATCGCTGTACACACTAGTTTCATCAAGATCGGATAAAAATTGTTGTCTCTATCATGCCTACAAGTCAAATTTGGCGAGTTTTTACTAAGTCAAGGGCAATAACTCTGAAACTGTTCATCCGATTATTACCAATTTCGAACTTGACCGAGATCTCACCAATATAGGCATGCATACCAAGTTTCATCAAGATCGGATGAAAGCTGTAGTCTCTATCATGCCTACAGGAAAATTTGACATGTTTTTACTTAGTCAAGGGCAATTTCGAACTTGACTGAGATCTCATCAATATATACATGAATATATATCGTGCCTACAAGAAATGTGAACGGACAGACGCGACGGACGAACTGAAGGACAGGGGCGATGGCAATATACGTCTACATTTCCATGTGGGCGTATAAAAGCGGTTTGCGTTTTCTTACCTTACTTAAAGGTGAAAGTAGAGGAACCAACATTAATTTATATATAAACCATGTTCCAGCAAATATTGCCAAATATACCAAAACAGAGGATACTGTTAAACTTCCAAACACAGTCTCTAATATTGACACCATGATTCTGATCAGTACTACTGCTTTAGAAAAAAAAACTTTGATAATAAATCTACATACACCGCAGTCTATATTAGGCTACCAGTAAAAATTTATTTAAGTAAGTGTTTCAAAGATTTTTGTTTTCTGGATAGCATTAGAGATGACATTAACAGTTCATGATCAGATAAACTGCTAACTTGCATTCAATTAGTATCTATAGCATAGGCTTTGGCTTTTGTTATTTTGTAGAACAAGACATTGATTTAAGATTAAATTTTGAACAGTGATATGGATGCACAGTAGGCCCATAGCTAGTTGGGGGAGGGGGAGGCAGGCCAACCTAGTCTCTATAGCTGCGCTCCCCTTCAAAAAATTTGAAGCTACGGCTAGCTAAGCATAGGCGTAGGAGACAATCTGAATCAAATCACTTCATTTTGTTACAGCAGGCCTTATATAATAATTATGACTGTCAAGTTTTTAGCTCACCTTGACTGGGTTCTGGGGTAAGGATCTAAATACTGAAAGAAACTGTAAAATCAAGATGACAACAAAAATGTTTTTATCAGAGGACATTTTTAATCTGAAAGTAGAGTCGAGAATTTCCAGTAAAGTATTGACAGTTAAGGCTTCTTATATGACAATCGAGAGTATAACTTTTCAAAGAAAAAGTATCGCGTAAAGAGTAGTTTATTCACGATTCAAGGTAGATAATTGCCGAACAGAATAAGACAACAATTAAGAGTTCAGGATGTTAAATTTGAACTGGTAAGCTATAAGCCAAGAAAAAAAAGAAACTCAATCTGGGTAAAATGTTATTTATTTGATGGTTTGCCATACTGAATTATCAAATGTTTATCTTTTAACTTATAACCATTGATCATTTCTAAAGCTGTAGCGGCTGTTGGTGTATCTGAAATCATAAAAGTAATTGTCTGAAAATGAAGAGATTCAAAATAGGGTTTTTAGCTTTAGAGGGATTGTAAAGAGGTTTTTAAATTTATTTTTCTTTCAATATGTGCGGTGGGAAATCTAAAACGAGTTTGTCCCCTCTTTTTTTTTGGCTACGCCATTAATTGTCATCGTATGGGCTGAATGCAATTATGTAAATTGTTATATCTAACAATTTCCACGTGCTATGTTTCGCTTCATATGCTAATATCTTACCATGAAATGTAATAAATGCTTGTCCTCTCATTCTACCCGTCATTAGTTTATATTGGATGCTTGGCTGATCGTCTTGTCTAAATCTACCAAACACAGATATTAGATCTTCTTCTGTAACTTTATTGTCTATGTTCTTTATATACAGCACCTATTGATACAAGATACAATTCAAATACTAAAAGGTATACTACATTTTAAACATAGTGGAAATGAGTCTATATTCATCATTGGACTTATCTGGTGTCAAAACTATACGAAAGAATCTCTCTATAATCAAATAACTCTACAAAACTGAGTAATTTTGAAACATGCTTAGAAGCATGGATACATCGTCTTATATGGAGGTTACATTCTTTCGTCGTGGCACCTGGTTAGTCCAACTGATGAGCATACACTTATTGACCAAGTTTAAGACTTTAAATTTATTTCCACTCTAAGAGTTCGTATTCTTTTAAGGATACCGAAGTCGTATTCGATCATTTGTACATGTATCGGGCATACGGAACTTATTAGTGCCCAAGCTAGCTACCCATGTTAGAACCAAACGTAGTTTCGTATGCTGTAACGAGAACACTTCTATTTGCATCATTTCAATTTTTCCTTCATACTTTTGCAGAAAGATACTACTCTATTGGTTCTTAATGAAGTAAATTGGTCATATGTAAAAGCCCAATTATAGCTTTTCGTATCACTTTGAAAAATAAAAATTCGACGTCCAATTCGATTTCAAGTAAACAAAAGTCATAGAATTTAAGACTATTTTCATTTTCAAAGCTTTTCGAGCATTCTCACGAGCGTGACACAGCATGGATGAAAACTGTAAGTGCAGTTGGTCATAACGCCCTTGAAGTGACGACAGTTTTCCAACGTGTTGAATTTAAGTAATGTGAAAAGTGACAGGGAAAAAGTAAATATAATGACGTCTTAACCCCTTTCTACTTACATTATTAGCAACACCCTTGTGATAATTCTCAAATTTCGGGATTTGCTTTATTTCCTCACATGTCAGTCTATTATCTAGTATTTCTTTTTCAGGAATTTGTTCGATCACATGAGTTGTTTTTATAGAGCGCGAGGTACCGAGGGGTAACGGTCCAAGAACAATGTTTTTGTCTTTTGGGGGTGGAAGAACAAGTTCCCATTCACCGTAAGGTCCTTTGTATTCTTGACATTCTTCAGTTGCAAGAGAGTTTCCTTCCTTTAATTCGGAAGAAATTTCTGCTTTCATTTTATCTACGGACTCTCCATATTTCTTATTTCGTTTCCGTTCACGTCGTCTTTCGCGGAATTTGGAATTGATTTTGTCTTCCATTTCCGTCATGAGATCAGGTACCATACTAAGAGGGTTACTTTTCTCATAATCTTTTTGAACAACAAGATGTTTACTCAATTTTCCATCTTTAGTGGAGCAGATCGCCTTTTCTAGATCCATTTCGTGCCTTGTGACCTTCTGGACGTCCGAAAATTGAACTGGAAAGCTGTCCGCGGACTTTTTCTCAGAGATCTTTGCATCAATGATTGTTAGTTGTTCCTTTTCTATATCTGGATTTATCAGAACACCAGAGCGCATCTCCTGAAAATAAATAATAATTAAAAATAAAACAGAGCTTTACCTTCAACTTTTCAGCACACTATTAGGCTAAGGCAGGCAAATCAATGAGGCAAATTTTGGTTCATACTTTTCCATTTTCATTTTCCAACTAACAAGGAAGTGGCATCTTATCGCTTGGATGTATTCAAAAGACATGGCTACAAATCCATCATTCTGATTGAATTAAGTCATAAAAATTCTTACCGATAATTTGCCAGTTTCGTGTTTTATTTTCAATTGAATTTCGTTGTTTGTTAACCCATAGCGGCTAAGTTCTTCTATTCTAGCATCGAGGTGGTCAGTTTTCTGATAGTCTTTTAATTGAACAACACCTACTAGGGTGTCCACATGAGGCTTAAAGGCGCTTGTGGTGCTAAATTGTCGATGTTGGGAAAATTGCCTGAAATAAAAGTAACATTACACGAATGAAATTACCGAAATGTGCGTTATTAGGCCCAATGTAGGCCTACACTTGAAATTAACAAAAAAAATAAACATATAGGCTAAGTTTTATGGGGTTTCTAAAATGTCGCCTTGAAAGTCAAAAAAGACATAAATTTGGGGTTCCTGTCTGATTCAATATGTTTATAATATGCACAGATAGGCTTATTAGAGTTAAAGATTGAAGAGGCATTATGAGAACTATTAACTAAATACTAAATAAACTTGTAAGCGGATTAAGACTTGTTTAGCTTCCTAGATGCTAGTCAAATCGGAGGTTTTTGCGCAGCGCAGGAGTGTTAGGTCTTATAATTTAAATTCGGATTCACAAAGCTTGGTAGGCCTACTTCTTGGGTGTAAATTTGGCAGGGTCGGATTTCCAAGCGGACAATTTCCAGTGAAAAGTTTAGCAAGTACTTCTTTTAGGCATATAATTTTTTTTTTAGCTGTAGGGCCTAGGCTATCATCAAGTGACATCAACATTGGTCATAGGCCTACAAATATAGGCCTCCAAGTCTAAGTGGTTAGATTTATTACATATTATGGTTAGAATGAATGGGCCTAATTTCGCGATCAGCATTAGCCGATTCTATTAAAACATACTTTTTTAATGTAATATCGGTCATCATTTGTTTTTTAGCCAATGAATGAAGGTATCTTTCTCCTTCTGTCTCAATATCTTCTTCTGGACCATCTTGTACCACCCTCTTTCCTACTCTCATGCCAGTTTTAAACTTCATCTCTTCATCGTTACTCGACTTGCTTGTCCCTTCACTGGCATCCATCTGAGAAAAAAGAAATTGCAGAGTATTGTTAACTTAAAATAATCAAGTTATCCATCTATTCATCGTTAAACTCTATTCCACTTTGCAAAAGACGTTCAGAACGTACATATCCATAATCATATTTTACGCCACGCATCATTAGAAGGGGAGTAACTCTTGAAAATTAAAATACGAAACAACGACCTTGGTTGGCTCTGGTTTGAATTGTGAGCATATCCAAGCTCTGTTAGAAAGCACAAAAATCTGAAAATGGCAACGTATTGGCGACAAGCAGGCTTAACGTATGTATTGAAATGTAACTCAAACCTCGCATGTGCATTTTCCGAAAGTGCATCTGACTTTACTTTTCTGAGATCAAACATTCTTTGAAAAATGTCTTTCTCAATGTGTCTATGTTTTGCCAACTGCCAACCGTAGAAACAACAAAATTGTTTTCTCACATTCGTTGATAAACTGAAATTTGCTATTATAGATGGAATAAGTTGGTAAAAAGGTTAACATTGAATAAGAAACACACTTTTACTCCCAGATTGGCATAAATTTCAACTTCAAATGTTCAAACTTATGTAGTTTTGACTGAAATTTTACTCTGTAAATATAGTGTAAAACATTGAATAGTCTTTATGGATAACAATCATTTCATTTCTTAAACACGACGATTTGACAAGATTCCACTGGTTATTATCAAGTATATAACAAATTATAATAAATGAAGTAGGCCCTGCCATAGAGTAGAGGCAAAGCATAAATATAATTATACACGCATGTATACTTGCTTGGTAGATAATTTTTTCAGCTGCTTTAGAAAGGACTGGTGTATATAATTATGCTTTGCCTCAATGGTACTTCATTTGTTATATTTTGTACACTTGATAACGACAAGTGGAATCTTGTTGAAATGTCGTATAAGAAATAAAGTGTTATCCATAAAGACTTTGATATATTCAATTTCGTGTCAAATCACAAAAGCCTACCAAACAGTATAGTGTAAAGAATGTAAGATCAAAAAGCTATATCCTGCAAAAACATTCTGAATTTCTCTCAGATATTTATTTGTTGTACAGTGTAACTAAGACTTGTGTACCTTATATTTTTTCTCTTTTATTCAGATACCTCCATTTCTCATCTATATGTGCTAAAATCACTAGAGAATGTTTAAAATCAGAGCTTATATCTGCAGCTGATAAAGGAAAGGTGATAGGAGCAGCATCTACTGTCAAGACAACAATCTGGGAAGGTGGAAAACCAAAAACTGTTATAGGTAATATAGTGCACATTTCGAATTCACATATTCATTCATATTTCAAATTGCTTAAGAAATCATCGGTTACACCCTATTGGTATTTCAAATATAAGATAATAAAAAGTCCACTTAAATTAGACACTGTATTCTGCAGCCAGTTTATCATAGATAGTTTGGTGGTGACTCCTACCTATCAGGACTTGTAGATATATTGACGGTTATCAACTACGTTTAGCCTTCTTTTCCCAATGTTTTTATTTCAAAGTTATTACTATTGATTACTCTAAGATGTCAATTTTAAAGTATATAATCATGAATTTAAATCATGTATTTCTTCAAATCTTGCTATATAAGCTTAATGCTTGTTCAATTGTATTGTGTGAGTTATATTAAAACTTTAAATAGTTTCATTTTCCTTTTCAGACCCATTAGAAGGAAAGAAAGTAGGGGTTGCATAGTTCATGGTAGTTTTTCAGTTAGGAAACCTCCATCATTACAATTAAAAAACTGTTAAAATGTGTATGATTAATTTTTTTGAAAAACATCCCTGGAAGATTGAAGTGCTGTCTATTTATGTAGAAAATTAAAATTTGTGAACAAGATTTTTTTGTATTTTTTCATTTTTTTTTTATCAAGTTGTCTATTTAGTCCATAAAGGGAATCAGAATTTTATCTTTTTGTTGAAAACAGGTAGATTCTGTAAAATTTAGTGACTATTAATTATGTGTACTTTATCCATGGATAATGAGTGAGAAGTTTAAAAACGAAAATATTCCACAACACAAAGACCTTTAACTTGCACCTGACATGGCAAAAGCATCTACTTTCTATATACACTGTTAACAGAATCGTATTTTTTTTTAAATTCTTTCGAGTGACTCAGATTGTCTTTGAGTTGATAAAAATGCCAACAACCTCAAATGTTGTTATTTGTAAATCTGATTTTACAGAAGAAACTTGTCAGTCTGAAATGTGGGTATATTTCAAATGAAATTGTTTATTTGACATGTTAACTGGAAAACATTCTAAGACAAATAAGATTTATGAAATGAGAGAAAAAATTCACATCTATTAATTCTTAAAAAGATATAATATTGATTCATTATAATATAGCCCAACACCAAAACTAGATAAAACAGCTTAATTAACAATTAATACCGGTACTCTCAGTTTTTATTTTTTAATTATTCTTTTTTAAAGGAATTCATAGATTTAAAAAGAGCATAATTTAGAAATTTTATCAGGAATAATTTAGAACGTTTTTGATAAAGAAAGAAAGAAGAATACCCCTTTAAGCACTGTTGATTCCATTGACTTTACATAATGTACACATAATATATTAGAAGTGAATGTTATTACTGTATCTGTGAACATCGTAATGAGTTGTTTATTGAAAGGTAGAGGCGACCACAGCTTTCTAGAGTGCAGCTGCCTTTAGGGTCTCAAAGGTTCAGTTTTAGGTAAGATATGATGAAAAAACAACATGTAATTGAAATTTCGAAAGAACAGGCAGAGGTGAAAATTCAGCTACATCGGCATGATACTTATAAAAAGATAGTAATAATTTAAAAAGGAATAATAATTACTAAATAATTCTTAAATATAAAAGAGAATTATAAATTATGTTTTCTGATAGTCCTAGTTCTGTTTTAGGGGTTGGAATAGTTCTTTACTATATAAAACGAGATGTGAAATCTGCTCAGTACTGTCAAACATTAGACTGCCATAACTCTACCCAGGTGTTATATGTTTGTGTGGAATAGTATGCATTTACACTCTGAACTTGAGACTTTTGATTTACTAATTGTGACAAACAATACGTCGGCGAAACCCAGAACGCGTTGCGAACTCGATTTAGCAGCCATCGCTTTGATATAATTCATAGCAAAAATAGACCAATTTCTCATCATTTTAATTTACCTGACCATTCCATTGAAGACCTTCTTATCATGCCTATTGAATCAATTCCTGACTCTGATCTTATCAAACCAAAAACCAAATGATTACAGAGAGAAAGCTACTGGATGGACCAACTCCAAACAGTGGCTCCAAATGGACTTAACATCCAGCATGATAATCAAATGATTCCATTTGTTGCCACCTTTAATCATACAGCTGCCAAAACCTCATCCATCGTCAAACAGTATTACAGTGAATTACAGAACAGATTTCCGAATGTATATACCAAACGACTTGTAATTGCCTATAAGCGCAATAAAAACCTTAATAATTTTCTGGTCCGTGGTAGACTCGATCCCATTGAATCCAATAATACTTGACCCCCCTCTCTATTTTCTAGCTCATTAAGTATAATATATTCTAATCCTTATATATAGATGGTTATCTTTTCAGAACCTATTCATACTCTTTTCTTTTAGAACTGGTAACAAGAAAACTTTCATATTATAGACTTTTGTTTATTGTAGATTACTCGTGGTTGTTTTTTTTTTTTTTTTAACTTAATACTAACAATGATAACTTCACCTTATCTTGTATTGAACATTTATCTCTTTATTTGTGACCTTGGCCAGTGCTTTACATATAAGTTTTTTAGGAACTTCTTCACTCTTAACACTAATTCATAGGATTGTGACTATAGTCAATCTACATGACAACAATCTGAATCGTAATTTATCATTTTTTGACATCAGTTACTGCAATTGAATGAGTGAAATTTGACGAGTATAATCCATCAAATACAGATTTCTCATTTGTGAATGTAAATTTAATATAGCATTCGTCAGTATACAGTTCTATGTTTCTATGCTACAGACTACACTATAGTTAATTTTCAAACTGCTTCAGTTTCAATACTATAATTTAAAAATTGTATGAACAAAATAATAACAATCAAAACTTGATACAAAAGCTGTGTGTGTTGCCTTTCTTTTTAAAATCTATTTACCTTTAAAGTAACCTACCTTTCTTTGACCTAGTTCTATCCCTCTTTTTCTTAATTTTCTTTGTTGACAAATTAAGTCCCTTGTTAAGCTCTTCTTCGTAAAGATACATTCGGCCAATTGGGATGTATTCGTTTTGTGGGCTTTGCTTAAACCCCACGGATTTAACTCAAAGCTACTCGTTCTGTACTTCTGTCACATATTTTATACATTTAGATCTTTATAGAAACTACAGAATAATGTTTACTTTCAAAAATTATAATAATATGATTCAAAGTTAAAGAATAAGTTAACATTGAAAAGGAACAAAGTAAATATCATGTAACTATCGAACTGGCTTTCGAAAATTAAAAACAATTCAAGGAAAATAATTTCAAATTTTATGCCAAAAGCGTTTATTATGTGATAAAATGATACGAACAAAACTGTGGCGTTATATGTGTAAGCCAAACTGATGAAATCGGTCGTTTCATAACAGCTTTCCTCGACGTTTTTGGCACGGAATAGAAGATTAACATTCTGTAAGTGAAAATAGAGTGAAAGAAGTAACTCGTGGAAGATAAAGTTTGTGTTCACCATGTCGGCACCGCCGTTCCCATGCCTGCTTCCAAAAGAAATTGACAGTATTTGGTTTACTGTGGATAAACCATGTGATGATGAAAGTGAATTAGCCAAACAAGAGCGTGATTACAATCAATGGCTACAACAAATAGAAACAAAAGACAATACGATAGTACCCATTGGAAAGACATCTGAACATTTAGATGAGGATGATGACGAAGATGAAGATGATGAAGGTGATGATGATGATGAAAGTGATACTAATGATGATGAATTAGATACTGATATGATGGACGAAAGAGATTCTGGAGATGATAATAGCACATACTGAGCCATAAGTTATATCTTCTAATGGAAAAGACAATGGACCAAAGCATTAGGCCTAGACAAGGAGCTATATTAATGATGAATAATACATTCTATTTCAGTTTCTGATGACCTTGTTTTAAATCAGGCCGTATAATTCTGACTAAATCATACACAACTTTCATTGTTTTAGTCTACTAATAAATTTCAAAACGACTACAAAAAAAAAAAATAATGTGTCAATCTGATAAAAAGTAGTCAATAGAGAGACAGATAAGACATATTTTTGATACCGATTTACGAATTTTCTACTGACCTTACCCTGTCCAAATTGATACTGTAATCAGTAATTTCCAGACGTCCAGTATTGGTTCCATTAACATTTCCCTGCACATCTAGAATATGATGCATTCACTTACCTCTGTGGTTTCTGAATAAAATAAAAATTGTTCTTCCCTTCTATAAATTTATTATATAAATAGATTATTAGTCCCAAAATTGTCGGCACCTACATGCACGCCACAACTGAAGTTTATTTGTTCCAAATTTCGAGTTACATAGGACTGGCATATTTTTCCCTGCTCGTGTTTATTTTACCTTTCCTGAAAACCAAATTATGTGGGATTCTTCTGGTGGTAATATGGTACCGCTTCAACGACGACATTCTCCTTCATTCAATACAAAAATTTTACCTTTTGGGTCAAGATTTATTAGGTAAGCTTACAGCTATGTGAAGTGACTGGTATGTCTGAAATCAGCCTTTTTCCGAAACGGAAACGGATTTGTAAGGTTAATAAACCAAGCCCCCGTGTGCTACAGGCTGTGCACGTTAAAGTTTACTCGACAATTGGAAATCAAAAAAGAGATGGTTTAAGGTGCGATATACGGTACCGCATTGTTGATAGGCCTACAATAGAAAATAGAAGAAACGAATCGTGTCCGGACCCGTACCTCGTGTGTTCTTTTATTTTCGTGCGGAATAATCGATACAAACGGAAATAAAAGAAGTGAACACACGAGGTGCAGGTGCGGACACGATACGTTTCTTCTATTTTCTGCTGTATCGATAATTCTGCACCTTAATACAGCTGTCCTGGCAAAATTTCCCTCATTGCATGGCGTTGCCCGTCTTCATTATCCGCATGGTACAGAAAAGTAGGATGTAAAACTCCATGTATTTTTTTTTCTCCCGAAAATAGGGTGCAACTTCAAAGTCGATTACTCGAAAGTTTCAATTTTCGGAAAAATAGACACAGGACAACCTTTCATCTGTTAAGAAGATATATTTCTCTTGGACTGAAATTAGTCATGGCCATTAAAAGTTAAGGGTTGGTCTGAGATCAGCATTTTCTTTGACGGGTAAATTTTTATGTTTGTTTTATGAAATGAAATGGAGGCAAGGTCGAATTTAGTGCTGCCACCATTTATGGTCCGAAGATTCAAATTGATACAAGAGCTTCCTTAGTTTTCAAACTATTTTCATGAAACTAAACATACGTTATGATAATTGGAAAATGCAATTCATTGCAACAATAAGGGTCATGTACTTTGAAAGTTTTATCTTTCATAAGAAATTAATTGGCAAGATGTGACTATTAAATATCAATTTGGCGTCGAAATCTGTCAGAAAATCCTTTTCTGAAAGAACAACGACTGAAGCCATTTGAATCGGTAGGCTATAACTATCAGTGTTAGAACTGTCATACACCTCTCCCCCTTCCCCACCCTCGTTGATCAGCAGCAACGTATTCTCTAATTTGATGAAAGAAGGTTAAATCTTTATTCTTAAACAGCTATTTTCTCACAAAACATAAACAATGACAATCTTAACAATACAATATAAATATACTAATATATATAATATAGATAATAATATATTTTACCTATGCGCAGGATTTGAATTGAAATAGCGGCTTGTAATGGTATGTTCCATCTTTAGATTTGACACCTCCACCGATTACACAAAATTACAAATCTAATCGATGTAGAATTGTAGTCTGCAGAGCGAGTACGAGATGTAGTACCAGGACAAGCTATTCATACAAAAACAAAAGAAACTTTACTAATCTCCACTAATTGGTAATGACCTACACACGAAAGTGTGAACATTCATGGAAGCAGGACAAAGCTATTTCAGAGCAAGTATTCCAAGTCCTATTATGCTAAAATTCGGAAGAAAATTGACAGGGATCGAGCGTACCTTGATTAACCTACACACGATGTGTCCCAACATTGTAGTCTTTTCAGTGAGCACAAGGTGCAGTATGGCGCTGTATCTGGTTCAAAATAGGATCCAAATCAGATTGTATAAATTCTTAAAATCACTTGGTCATTTCTAAGGGAGAAATGACTTATCTTATAAAATCGAAATAATTTTACGTATAATATCTTTTTAGAACATAATTTAGACCGTAGACTTTGTAGATCGCAGATCGCGGATTGTAATCTTGGGAACTTTACCACTGGAAGATTACAATCCGCATTCGGCGTTCTATAAAGTCTACGGTCTAAATAATGACTAACATTGAAAAAAGTAAGATAGGAAATTTACACAATCTGACTTGGATCCTATCTTGAACCAGATACAGCGCCATAGTGCAGTACCAAGCATTTTCGGGATATAGATTTTATGCCATAAAACGGCAGAAAATCATCCAAAGCAAGGTTAAAACCTATTGCAATCTATTAAATTCTGGACACTTTTACATGCGTGTATAACGACATACATCCAGCTTAAAACGAATCTAGGATGTTTATTCAAACATCAAATATTTGTATAATGATTTTCAATCTGAACTAACTCATTTCATCAAACAAAAATTTATGCACGGTAAATTTTATCCAACCGAACGACAATATAGGCGACATCACATGATTTCAATGAAAATGTGAATTTCTTTAAGGAAGTTCCAATCAAAATAAAGCTAAGAAACTCTCGGCAATCAAGGCGCAATTTTTGGTTGTCCAGAATTTGTGAAATCTATTCATCAACAAGCAACTTAAAAATTCTAAGACTATAATATGTCTATAGAGGAGTCATCTTTTTATAAAAATTTTCATATGGAATAGGAAGAGGTCGACTGGAGCCTGTTTGGAATCCATCTATAAACGTTTTAATATCTTGAGTGATATCACACGTATCAAGCATTTGACGAACTCGCTCACAGCTATCGTCCTTTTCTAATGCCATTTGGGAATCCAAATTAGAACAAGTCCACATTAAGTCTCGTAAATAATTGATACGTTCTTCTTCCATTGTTTGAAACGCTTGACATGCAAGAGACATGTCATCTTCCCATTGACGCCTTGCAACATCTAAAGTGTGAACAGAAGATTTGTAAGCATCTTCTGCTTTCTGGGCGTTTTCTTGAGCTTTTTCTGAATTGCCTCTTGCCTTATCTAATTCTTTTGTGGTAGTGGTGACACCTTGATGTAACAATGCGTAAGTATCAGAAGCCGTGTCAGATTCTTTGCACTTTTGAAAGTAAGTTTTCTGCAACGATTGTGTTTTATTATACAGGGTAATTTTTTGTTGGTGACTTTTCTTGGTTCTCTCGGAGATTTCTTTACGTTTCATTGAATTTTCGTCTATAAATCTACGAGTTTCTGTATCGAGTTCATGAAAATATCTTCCACTATCTTCATGGACCTTTGTCATTTGAACCAATTCTTCACGAAATGTGTCCCAGGAATATTCCAATTGTCCAACAACTCCTTTAAATTTTAAAGATTGATTCAATTTCGACAAGTTTTTACTATATTCCAGTTCTAATTTAGATCGCGCTTTAAGGTACGTCTCCATATCCTTACACAGTGCCTTTCCATCTAACAATCTATTCAAAAGTGTATCAAAACCATGAGAGCTTGTGAAGTCCTCGCCCCAGAAAGAGTTATTAAATGTTTTCCTTGCTTCACCCATTTTGAAACCTTTCACGTCGTGCAACAACTTATGACGCCAGGGATTACTTCCTAACCAGTTAATACACACTGAATACAATCACAGGGAATTAGTTCATCTTTGCTGTCTCAGAGAAAGCGTTGTCTTTTCTAAATGAGTCACGAAATGAAATGAACAAATTACGTGTTCACTTAACGATAATTTGGCTAAAAACTTCCTATTTTTAAACTTCCGCCATAGTGGGTATATATTTCAATTGCTAGGCAGATTTAAAGCCCCCTTTCCTTTTAAAATATTCACTAGTAATCAAATCCTAATTGGTTCAAATAAAATGACATCAAATTAGTGTGATCATAATTTCCGTATCGTTCAAACAGGACATAAACCATATTGATAAGGTCACAAATATGTTATAACACCGAATTTGTTGTAATTGGGAAACTTGTGGGAATAGGACCAAAATACCAAGCACACTGTGTATTCAAGTCAACACGGAAGAAGATAACCTGACTAATATTTATATATAGTTTCATTATTTGTTCTATTTGACGACTGTTTTTCATAAATCCGGTTTGGTTCACATGATTCAATATTGCCTGAAATAAACAGAAAAAGCAATATTCAGTATTCAAACCATTATGCTTGATTATGCTCAGTACTAATCTGCATCTAAATCAATATGTTATGTTATTATAAACCAAAAATTACACATGTCACGATTTTGAAAAAATAAATAAAGGACAAATAATTTAGCATTCAATCAGAGTACACCTATTTGCTAAAACTTGTAATTGATGTTAATTCTCAAATAATTTTTGCAGAAAGTAGATCGTACAACACCATTTATTTCATTTTTAACATGATGATTTGAGGATATTATCATAAACATGCAACTAGATCTTGCATTCAAGAACATTAAAAAGTGAAGAGCTTGTATTTGTGACTATATAACCTGCTCGTCTGTAATTATACTATTTTCCCTCTGATAGTATTTCATAGTTCATATCTGTTAAACAGTACCCATTGACAAAAAATTCTAAAAGATGTGCATGGGACATCGGACAGCTGCACTTTTGAGGGGTTTATTTGAGTAAATAGTCCGAAATACTAGAAATGTAAGCCTACGAAAATCACATTATCTCAATATCTGATATCTGAATATCTGTGAGATTCAACCTGAACAGGGCTATCAACCGGAAGTGAGAGTGTTCTATTGATCACAAAAATGAAATAAAGGGGGTGTCGAGGAAATCATTGAAGCGCGTTAAGTATTCCACGCCTTCGTTTATGTATTTATCAATACCAGTTTCGATAACAGGCATTTGCATATCTACAGGGCTTTGGCACTCCTAATTTCAAATTTGTTATCATTTTACATAGTGAAAGAAAGGCCTGAGGCCCTCTCTGAAAATATTTTGTGGCCCCTGCTCGACCACTCTCTTAAGTTCCCTAGAAACACCAATGATAACAATATAAACAGGCCTACCACACTTTATTCTACGCTATGACTTTAACTTACATCCGGGTCTATTTTATGAACAGTTAACGCCAATTGAACACTTTAAATAACGAATTTCTTACTTGTATGGCATGCCCGTATCTTTATCAGAATACGTTGTTTCCTGGTTCAATAACCATATAAATCCAACCGCCTCATGTAAGCGTTTACAACTCACTGATCAAAAATATTGTACGTAGAAGCTCGAAGACATATGAATTATACATCTTTATACCGAGATTGACATTTCTTAAAATATAACTAGCCTGACCTACTTCTCAGTGATATATAGGTAAAATGAATTTAATTATCAACAAGATAGTCTCTAATGCAAGAAAATCTTAAAACGTGAATGATTATTTAACGTTGATGCATTATTTATCATTTGTTCATTTATCATGTTATTTAGTTTCCAAATTCTGTAATGTTAAGATCTGTGATACGCTCACGCCACACCTATTTCTGAAATTTTAACAGCAAGTTAATACTTTACAATAGTCCAAAAAAAATGATGTAAATAAAAAAGAAAATTAAATTTATTTACAGTAATTTCGTATCGTGTACTTACATGAGTCGTCAGCTTAATATACTTTTGAATACTGGTATGTCATATAGTACTTTATATAATATTATAGCTGCCCAATTCGATATAATACTATACAGGATATGTGATTTATCAAGTGTTTACACAATCTGTTATACACATATATATGTATTTAACATAATATTAAAGTGCTATTGCCTGTAATTGTTTATCCAGCAATATTACTTGCAACTATGAAAGCCATCGTCGTCCATGTGAGCTCATTTCGAAGGCTGAGTGAAATGAATGGAGTATTAGTCCCAATAGTCTGCCCCCGACTGAGCTTCTGGAAACATGCAGTGTGTGATGAGGTAAATTTTGTCAGAACAGTAGCATTGACCTACTTTTTCGATTTCCATCTGTCGAGCCCAAGATTTAAGAACTGGGTTTCAGTTTTTTTTCTAAAAGTACTTAGTCATCTAGTTTAGGCAACCCCCTTTAATAGTTATTAAATAGACTATTTACTTCCTTTTGTGTTTTTCTTCCTGTTACTAAGTAATCGACCCAGTGAATATAAATTCTAGTCGACCTCTACTGACCTAACAGCACAGGCTATCTGCCAAGTGACGGCATTATCGTAAGCGTGGGAAATTCCACTTATACCGTGACTGTAATAGCCAAGGTTGAATTGAATTGAATTGAATGGAGTTCTACGTCTTACTGTTCTTTTTCGATTTTTAACAGTCGAGGGATCTTTAATGTGAACGGGGGAATTCAGGGAACTATAAGCCATAATGTTTACAGTTTTTATTAGAAATGGAGTTTCATCTTTGGACCTTTAATTGCATTTTCATCCTTTTTTCAAAGCAAGATAAATTCTAAACTCAGTATTCCATATAAATATATATGCATTACCGATTTCTATGCAATATTTGTACTTCCTGATGGGCAGGTTTCCTAAGTTTCATTCTGTCTATGAATTCTTCAGCCTTGTTCCCCAATGTTGGTGATGCAGACCGGAGATGCTGACATGGAAAAAGGTGAATAGAAATCATGTAGTTATCTTTTATTATGTGTAGTAATTTTACTTGCTAAAATGAAAATTCAGAATACAAATTCGAATCTTAGAGCAAATTAACAAATACATGAACCCGTCCAAAACGTCCCACTTGTTAATTGAATCGAGAACACCAAAAACAAATTAAATTTAACCCTTTACGTACTATTTTCGTGTTGTATGATTTTAAATGTTGTCATTACGGCTCAATAAGTTTGGTAAATTTGATATAGACTTCTGCATATTTGTATTCACAGTGTGAATAATGGCCCTTTCAAACCACGAGTTTATGCAAATTCGTCATATATATCACAATAAACGTCATGTTAAGGGCCATATCGATCTCGAAGTGTCAAATTCAAAGTTGTTTTTGTTTACATCTGGCATTCGCTATTGCTAATCTTAATGCTCACAGTAATAAAATATTCTTTGAAAACGAAATTTGTACTTTCATTTCTGCATAACGCACTATGCTAACTGGATTGCATAGGATAACCGTAAGTGACTCATAAGTTTTATTGAACACCAAGTGACTCGATTCTTTAGCTCATTTACTAACTTTTTAAATGAACCGTGTTTTTCTAACTCATTGGCTTACTGCGATTCTCTAATTCAAAAATCTATTGCGAGTTACTAGCGAACACGTATTAATAGTTATACATGTATTGTTATTCTCTCGCCCACTGAGACACTTTATTTTATTTACATAAATATGAAAAGGATTGCGCAACAGTCGGTCGCCTACATAGCCCGTCTCAATTTCCGCGTGTATAGTATGTGATATTAATATAACAAAGCTTTATAAAAAATTAATTTGGACTAATTGGATCAGATTAATATACTCACAGAGCTACCTCTATTTACTGTGGCAACTTGTTTACATGGCTCACCGAGCTACATTGATTCCATGGCTCACTGAGCCAACTTGTTTACATGGCTCACCGAGCTACATTGTTTTCATGGTTAACCGAGGAACCTTGATTCAATGGCTCAGTGAGCTACATTGATTCCATGGCTTAGTGAGAAATATGGCTTACTAAGTAACCTTGATTCTACGGCTCACTGAGCTTCCTCGATTCCGTGACGCACTGAGTCAACTTGATTACATGGCTCACCGAGCTACCTTGATTCCATGGCTCACCGAGCTACATTGTTTTCATGGTCAACCGAGGAACATTGATTCAATGGCTCAGTGAGCTACATTGATTCTACGGCTTAGTGAAAAATATGGCTTACTAAGTAACCTTGATTCTACGGCTGACTGAGCTTCCTCGATTCTACGGCTGACTGAGCTTCCTCGATTCCGTGGCGCACTGAGCTACTTTGATTTCATGGCTCACTGAGCGACCTTGATTCCATGGCTCACCGAGCTACATTGTTTCCATGGTTCACCGAGAAACCTTGATTCTATGGCTTACTGAGAAATATGGCTTAGGCCTACTAAGTAACCTTGATTCTACGGCTCACTGAGCTTCCTCGCTTCCGTGGCGCACTGAGCTTCCTCGCTTCCGTGGCGCACTGAGCTACTTTGATTTCATGACTCACTAAAAACAACCTTAATTTCATGGTTAACCGAGGAACCTTGATTCAATGGCTCAGTAAGCAACCTTTATTCAATGGCTCACTGAGCTACCTTGATTCAATGGCTCACTGAGCTACCTTGATTCCATGTCCCACCGAGCTACATTGTTTCCATTGTTCATTAAACAACGTTCATTCCATGGCTCACTGAGCAACCTTGATTCCATGGCTCACTGAGCAACCTTGATTCCGTGGCCCACTAAGCTACTTTGATCCCATGACTCACTGAGAAACATAGTTCACTGAGCTACTTTCCATGGCTTCCTAAGCTACCTTGATTCCATGGTTCACTAAGCTACCTTGATTCCATGGCTCACTTTGAGACATGGCTCACTGAGCTACCTTGATTTATATGGCTCACT